GATGCTGTAAAGCGCTTTGAGACGATGTAATGTTATGATAATGCGCTATACAAAAATTAATTTGTTTGTTATAGCGTATATATCTCACTCCCCCCCCCCCCACACACACACACAGACACTCAGTATAGCAGAGCAGCTGTGCCCTCTTCCGACAGCAGATGACATCATCCCTGGGTTAGCAGTGAGTGGGGCTACAACACAAAGTTAGTAGGGTGGAGGGGGGGCAGCGGTGGAAGGGCCAGGGCAGAGCCTGCCACTTACTCGCTGCTCCAGCAGGGAGGACCGCTCTCTCCTGGGGGCCGGAGGCTGTTGGCAAAGATGGGCATGACCAGGGCATTACACTTGACCAGCGGCCTGTCTCTTGGTCACTGACACGCCATGTCCTGGGCTGTCAGTGCCCCTTAGAGCATGTGAGGCCTCCCCCTTCCATGCACCGCTTCACTCTAAGTCATCCCTCACACTGACACAGGTATCTAGCATAGCGGCTGCATTGTGGCTGGACCCAGGCCGGGCTGTTCAGATCTCTGACCGCTCTATGGGAGGCCCCTTGTGCTGTACTGACTCATGATTAAGGTGTGCAGGTCTTAACAAATGCCTGGAGTGCGAAGTGTTTCAGGATTATCATTGCTATCCAAGGTCCTAGAAAGCATATGGTCTACAGAAAGTAAGCACGGTCCCAGTGAAGGAAGAGCGCCATCCAAAGGCAGCACTGCAGAAGGAGCCCATTTACCTCTCCCAGACTCTGCCTCTCATCCAGGGCGGTGGTGTAACAAGGCTCATATGTAATGAGGTCTGGTCTTTCGATGTCATAGATGGCTTTGACCTTGGGAATGGCGGCTAGGTCTTTGTAATCCAGGATCTCATTGTCTACTTTCGCCTGGGGAGACAGTGACAGAGGGACAGCAAGTCAGTTCCATTGCACATGGAAAAAACTCACGGAGGCTGCGGTCAAAACCCAGCACTTAATATATGTCTGCAATATGAAAATGTGCTTCATACTCAATCTATGGTGCCCTTCAACGTATTAACCCAACCATGTGTGGTGAATATCAGCTGTCACAGTGACCATGACTGTTAGAGCAGCTCAGGTAGTCTAAGGTTGCAGACTCCTTCTGTCATCAATCTACAGCAGGAAATTATTCCAAAGCAAATGTGTGATATGAACCCTGACTGGAGCTTCTGATGGGGCTGCAGTTAACCTGCATCATTTTATATTTTAGTGAATGTTTCTCCACATGCAGGGACAGGCATGAGGTTTCATGAACAGTGGGTGCCAGGCACCAGTCACTGTGTTACATCCAGCACTGGCCAGCGCATGCGTAGCGGGGGGTCACCCAGATTCACCCCTACGGGGCAAGTCACAGTCACTTTTTACCCCATAGAGGTGAATATGGGGTCTGTGCTGCCCCGGCAGGTGCACATATAGCTCGTCTGAGGGACACGGGAAGATACAGAAAGTGTTCGACGAGGCAAAAAGTGCAGCCCTCAGGGCCTTTGAACTCATGTTTAAAATTAAAAGAATGTCTAGAACATTCTGAGTGCATGTGCAACTAATGTATCTTCCAGGTTCCCTCTGGAAGACGCTGTGAGTGTTTAGTCTTGGATTAATGGCCCTTTTGTTTATTCTGGGAGAGAGGCAGTGTAACAGTGCCCCAGCAGAACCTACTAAACTTTCTGAGCATTAATCTCAGAGGAACACATGTGGGTGCAATTATGTCCATGTGGGCAGGATCTGCTCCTGGAGCCAGCAGCAGCTGGTCACCAGTCTCTCTGCATAGAGCTTCTGTTAGGGTTACGGTTACAAACAGAGGGTTACAAACAGAGCTTCTGTTTGTACCTCTTAGGTGTAGTAAGCAGGAAGTAAGCGAATTAGCAGACTGCCGAGATTCCGGTCTGGGATCTCACCTGCATCTTTGTTCAAAGAGGACAACAGAAGTGATTTTTAGAAAGGTGCTATAAGGACAGTGAGATGAGGATTTACGGCAGAATATCGCGCCAAGGAGACAACAAATGGAAAGTCTGATAATCCCATATGGAAAATGTTTTATTATTTTATTGCAGTGGCCTTCAGTATGATTCCATAATTGTACTTAATTGTGTTAATTTCAACCATGTGGAAAAAGCTATTAAAGCCCTTTGTGCATCTGAACCATCAACGTTGTTGTTGTGCCTCAGCATCTGTGAGAAACTCCAAAGTGCTCATGATACAGGCTGTGGTGAAGGCAGATATTACAGGAGATGGGTTGTTCTACGAACCACATGTAGATCAGATGTGGTTACGGGGGGAATCAGAGCTGGCTGGAGCCAGTGTGTGGTTCTTGGGGGGTTAGTATAGGGCAGGCAGTTCCTAGGACAGCCAGCAGGGAAGAGCTTTGTTAGACACAGAGACATATGTCATATACAGTGGTACCTCAGAACTCGAACTTAATCCGTTCAGAACTCCAGATCGAATCCTAAAAAGTTTGAGTTCTGATCGAATTTTCCCCATAAGAAGAAATGGAAAACCAAATAATTGGTTCCCAGCCCCAAAAAATGACACCGAAATATGTATTTATTTATTTTTTAGCACTTAAACACAAAATGAACTGGAGAAAACAAGAAAAGCATATACTGTACTAAACACATCTAAGCAGATTTACAAAACAGTAATTTTAAAGTAAGAAAATAAATGTATCCAAACAATGTGTAAAGTTAAAAAAAACAATGTGTCCTGCCACGATCGTCCGCTCCTTCCGCGTGCCACGCCCCCTCGTTAACCCCGTGTGGAATTCCCGTGTGATCAGCTGTTTCTGGTTGTTGTCATTAGTCCTCTGTATTTCGTCCCCGTTTCAGTTTGTCTCCCCAGTCCGGTCATTGTATTGTCCGTCTGCATTTTGCCTGCCTTACCTGTAATTAAACCCCGTATTCCCCGATACCCTGACGTCTGCGCCTTTGTCTCCATTCCGTCCCCGATCGGCACGACAATATTATTATAATTAAATGTATTAATGGTTTATTATTAATATTAAAATAATTAATAAGAAATCTTTATTTTTAAATGTATTTTATTATATAATAATAATTACTGTTACTGTCTATCATTGTCTAAATGTATTTTTAATGTCTAAATACATGTATTCAGCTAGTGTAAACATGCACGATGCTATCACAGCGAATGCGAGGCTGAGACTGAAGTGTTACCCTTTGTCTCCGCTGAGAGACATGCCGCGTGACTCATTTACCCTCGCGTACAAGTTATCTTAGGTCGCCGTTCACGGTTTGACTTCTGAGATTCAGATCGAGTTCTAGGTCATTTTTTTTCAAACTGGTTGGTTCGACTTTTAAGAAATTCGAGTTCTAATGAGTTCAAGAACTGAGGTGCCACTGTATACTGTTTTAGAACATTACAAATGTGGAAACTAAAGAAGTTGTATTGTATATCAATGTAGGAGCTACAAAAGGTTCACCAAACATCAGTGTAAGGTGCAGACCACTGAAGGTCTGAGAAATGTCAGTGTGGACCAATGTAGGAGAAATTTCACTGCAGATGTTTGTAGGACAACAACAGTTACCAAATTAAGGGAAAACAGTGAGAATGTTATTTGTAAGCTGAGAGTTGTTCATACAAAACATAACAAATCTTTATTCAGGGATGAGTAACAGAGCAGCTGTGCATAGTGACCACAGGCGTGTGATTGGCTGAGAATAGAGAAACCGATTAGTGACTGGATGAACAGATTAAAGGACTCACATAGATGGTGTGACCCGGTGAGCCAGGAATGCTTGAACCAGGTCGGGAACAAATACTTTCGGACGAGGACCTTGTAGGCTGTAAGGAAGAGGACACAGTGTTTACAGAAGCGACGTGGCATGGCACACGCGCATATGACCAGGCGGTCAAGGTGAGCACAGCGAGACGCGACTCTAAGCGCAGCACAGGAATGGTCGACATCCCCCCACAGCTCACAGAGGCAGCAGGCCCAACTCGGCCTTTCCTCCATGCTACTGTCATCATTCCTTACGAGGAGGCAGTCGGCAGCATATCGCTGGCATGTGCCGCAAGGCCCAGAGCAAGGCCCTTCAGGTACGATTTCACGCGTACAGCCCAATCGGCACCCTGGAGAAATCTTAGTCTGAAGCCATATCTGAAGGGCTGGGCTCTCATGCCAGAACACGGGGAGAACCGCGCGGCTTGGTGAAGCAGGCATAGAAGCAGCCAGCCCTCCTGTGAGTCACTGCATTGTAATCCAAAGACGACCACTATTGCTGGTCCCTTGACCATAATAAAACAGAATTACTTCAGAATTGAATCACTGAGGTGTACAAATTTTAATCAGTACTTTATATGGCATTGGAATAATTAACAAACAGTCCTTGAATCAAGCATGTTTTATGCTGTATGTGATGCTTCAAAGCAGGCAGACAGGTGACCAACAGGATGCACTTCTAAATAGCATCCCGGGGCTTCTGCAGCACCACCTAATGGCGGCTGTCAGAATTGCAGACACACAATAACAATGGTCAGTGCAGGCCATGTGAATTCTCAGAACAAATCTTCATTGTCTGTTGGTGGAAATGAAAAATGGAACAACATTATCGTGAAACGCATAACACTGAGTCGTCATTAATTCATTGTGGACTGGGTGAGGGGTACGTACTTCGCTTTGGCACTTAGTAAACCATTTAACAGGCCGTGCCTTTTGGCCATACTGTTCAAAGTTGCCCCTACACTCCACAAGAGGGCAGTGGCAGGTACAGGTGTCTAAGGAGCTGAGGGGCTGCAGGGCTGACCTAGACTGACCTAGACCAACCTGTAGCCTTATCAGATACTCGTGTCCGTCCCAGAGGAGCGTGGCTTCTCTGCCACACACCTTTACGTATAATCTGACTGGCCAATCAGGAGACAGGTCTAATGTCTTCTTCAGTGTACCGGCACTGCCAGATCATCTCCGGGGCAGGGTGGAGCAGAATGGGCACCATCTCCACTTCGAGGTGGTGCAGAGTGAAGCGCGAGGAGACGGCGGGGGCGCGTGTGGTGGGGTGGGCGGGATGACAATGCCATTAAACAGCCAATAGCGAGTACAGTACCTGCCTTTCTGTTTTGTGAAGGCTGCTGATTGAGGGAGGTAGCAGCTGTGAAGGAAAGGAAGAAGGTGGATATGGGAAACCTTTGGCTCTGACACTGCCCACTGGGGGGCGCCACCAAACCACAACACGGCTCATACCCGGGGTTTGGTGCCTTTCCTTGTTCAACCAGCACCCCCACAAACCCCTGTGTGTTAGATAGACCGGTCATGATGTGCGTGAGAAGCAGCAACAAGAGCCTACTGCAGTGGAAGGTCACACCAATGGAAGAGACCATGTCAGTAGAGAAGGACACTGCAACATCACTCCAATGGTGTAGATCACTGGTTACTGAAACCCTAGCTTTATAGAAGCAGACCTACGCTAACTGCTCTCCAAGTACACATAAGGAAATCACCCAGATGCCGTGTTTGGGCTTCCCCACAAACAGGCAGAGAGCATCGATCTTCTCCTGCTGCTTCCCAGTGACAGATGCAAGCCTATTTCCTGTCCACTCCAGCTGTCCTTGCACAAAGCTGAAAAGTAGTGTACTTGTCACACTACAGGATTCCTAATCCTAGATTCTGAAGGTCCATCATCAGGGAGGATTCCTTAATGGTGAAGCGTTCTGACACTGTGAACCTCCAGACCTGAAGGTAGACTCTTTCTGCAGACACTGTGGATGTCCAGAACCAGGAGGGCATGTCCTGAGAGGTGCTGCTGACCCCCTGGATCAGGGCAAACTAAGACTTTTTAAATAACAACCCTACACAGGTGTAGATCTCCCCACGGCAGGACCCCGAGGAGCGTCTGAGGCATAGGTTGGAAGACACAGCAAAAGGCTCCTTGCTTTCACTGACATGAGAGCTCCTGGTTAGCCACAGTGGCATGGAGGAGCAGGAGCAGGAGTAAATGCCAGCAGACCTCCATGCAGCGACCCTGTTGGGATCCCACCATGAGCCTGACTCTGAATTGGGGCGAAAATACATTGAGTAGGGACGCTTTGGCCTTTGACTTGGGTGGTTGGGAAAGACAACATAGAATGTGGGAACACATCTGTACGACAAGGTGACGAGAGTCAGCGCATCCCAGACTGCAGCGCCATCCAGGACACTCTTACCCTGTGCTTTTCCTCAGCTTTGGTACTGTTCTTACAGTTGGGGTGCCAAACTGTAGAGCCTGTGAAGGGAGAGTGACCCATTAATCACAGACACAGAGTGAAAGGAGAGTCACCCGTCAATCACAGACACAGAGGGAATGGAGAGTCACCCGTCAATCACAGACACAGAGGGAATGGAGAGTCACCCGTCAATCACAGACACAGAGGGAATGGAGAGTCACCCGTCAATCACAGACACAGAGTGAATGGAGGGTTACCCGTCAATCACAGACACAAAGTGAATGGAGGGTCACCCATCAATCACAGACACAGTGAAAGAAGAGTCACCCATCAATTACAGACAGAGAGTAAAAGAGTCACCCATCAATCAGACACAGAGTGAAAGGAGAGTCACCCTTCAGTCATAGATAGAGACTGAAGGGAGAGTCACCCGTCAATCACAGACAGAGAGTAAAAGAGTCACCCATCAATCAGACACAGAGGGAAAGGAGAGTCACCCTTCAGTCATAGATAGAGAGTGTAAGGAATGTCACACATCGGTCACAAACATACTGTATTCAATGCCATACAGGAATGTGTTTAACCATGGAGTCCACTGTCCAGCATCATATTTCATCATGTAATCCAGCACACCGTACACAGACACAGGCTACACGCTCACCTTGGAGGTACATTTCTTCACCTTCTGTGAACATCTGGTTGCACCTGCTGCATCGTGCACAGCTGGGGTGGTAGTGTTTGTCCCCTGCCTGGAGAAGGAGGATGTAGAAGGTCACCAGAGCCAGGCAGCAAGGCAGACTAACCCTGTTCCCATACATACACACAGCGACTCATGGCCACACAGACATGAACACAAGGGCTCGATGGCCGAGAGAAAATGCTGAAGTCAGTAAACATTTATTTACTTCACAATTCATAAAGCAGATACATACAATGCTCAAAAAGTAAATTTTTTCTAAGTTAACTTCTGAAGGATCAAGTACACCAGAGCTCCAGGGAAACCAGGAGAGATATGTCTGGGGGCGGCAAAGTTCACCACAAGCCACGCCCCTGTGGTGGGAACCTCATTGTGATGCAGGAGGAGAGCAGGGCCAGCCTGGCCGACCAGAGCAGCGGCCCTGACACCCCAGGACAGACACAAGGACACTCTGAACGAGGGCTGGGGAGGGGAGTTACAGAGCTGCCCAACAGGGGCCCTGTCTCCTACTCCTTTCCTGGGGGGCTGGGGGTCCCAGACAATGCCCCCATTTTCACCTAAAGGCCAGCTTAGTTAGCTGTGTAGAAAAACTAACCTTTGTGTGAGACTCCTGACCTGAATCGGGATAACAGAACCTAGGGGGGAGCACCTGGCAGGTAGATCACAACGCCATTGCAGTGGTGTGTTCCAACAGTGTCGCCAGTGTTATGGATGCTCCTGTATCACCACTGACTTCATCAGCCCCCCAACTCAGACCCAGAACCTCACATTCGCTGCAGTCATCTATTTCTCATTCTTTTTAGTTTGAACCAGATTACAGGACTGGGTGTACCAAGCATCAGGTACCAAGGACATCCATCTCCATTTTAAGGAGCATGCTTCTATATCCACACTGCAGAAATCTGCAGAAATCAGCCTCCACACCGACACTGCAGGAATCTGGAATCAGCATCCACACCCACACTGCAGAAATCCGAAATCAGCCTCCACACCCACACTGCAGGAATCAGCAGAAATCAGCCTCCATATCCATGCTGCAGCAATAAACAGCAGAAATCAGTCTCCAAACCAACATTGCAGAAATCAGCCACGCTGCAGACACTAAACACCGACACTGCAGACACTAAACACTGACACTGCAGACACTAAACATCCACACTGCAGACACTAAACATCCACACTGCAGACACTAAACACCCATGCTGCAGACACACTGCTATTTTCTCTACTATAGCTGTGGAACTGGGCCTTTATAGAAACCTTTCCAGATTCAGTCACTCTCAGAAATAACAACTGTACCAATAAAAGCCAGTGTTTTTTGGGTTTCCATGGAGTCTTTCGGATGTTGAGTTTTATTTTGCCTGGGCCTCCCGAAAGCAGGACAGAAGAATGTGTCTGGAAGTGATTGTGAACGAGGAGATGCAGACAGGCAGGCTGTCTTGTGGGAGCTTGGAAACCTCACAGCCTGCGTCAGAGGCCTCTGCACCACTGGCTCGTTCTTTCTTCTCATCGTCCTGGAGCTGGTGACCTCATAGGCAACATGAGCAGAGTATAATAAACTGAAATGGCGGCCCAGCACCTCCTTCCTGTGGGAGGTGTGATCACTGCCTCCTACCCTCCTTACATCTGCAACACATGGCTCCTTCCAGTCAGACTGCAGTCTGCCCCTCCCATCCGTGCTGTCTCTCTATACCTGAGGCTATTCATATTGGCTGTTCTCAGGTTTGGCTCCACCCACAAGTTCTGAGGCCTCACCCTGCGTTAGCCTCAGAACTCTTAGTAACAAAACAGAAAGCACCACCATCTCAGGTCTACAAGTTCCAAGAGAATTACAGCGCAAAAAAACAGGAGCAGAGCAAAAGAAACACTGAGTAAAAACAGCAGGAAAATCTACCCAGGAGACGGGGGTCTTCAACGAGAGACAGGCAGAATAAGTGGCAGTTTTTGAGGCAGTGTGTCAAAGGCAGTATCAATATCAGTGTTAGTCAGTGTAAGTGTCAAAGGCAATGTAATTATCAGTTTTAGAGGCAGAATAGTGTTAATTTTAGGGGCAGAACAGATGTCAGATTTAGAAACAGTGTCAGTGTTAGAGACAGAGTAAGTGTTGATGTTTGAGGCTGCATGTGAGAGGCAGTGTCAGTGTCAGTGTTAGTCAGTGTAAGTGTCAAAGGCAATGCAATTATCAGTTTTAGAGGCAGAATAGTGTTAATTTTAGGGGCAGAATAGATGTCAGATTTAGAAACAGAGTGTCAGTGTTAGAGACAGAGTAAGTGTTGATGTTTGAGGCTGCATGTGAGAGGCAGTGTCAGTGTCAGTGTTAGAGGCATTCACTGTGTCACTGTGTCGGCGCTAGTGTGTCTGCATGATACCTGTCCACCTAGAGCCCACTGAGCTCTCTGCTAAATACCTCCCCTGTTCACTTGACTAATGTACCATGCAAACAGCGTAAGTTAGCCTGGTTTTTGGTATCTGGCTTTAAACACTATGTGCAGCACCGAAGCTTTTGTGCATCTGTGCCTCCACACACTGCAAAACATTTCAGCTAAAATACAAGAAATAAACACTGAATTTGGGGAGAAAATGACTGAATGTCAGTGAAATGATCTGTCCATGCAGTAAGTTATTTTTACTTGACAAGAATTCTTAAAATACGTATAAGTATGTATAATACGTGTAAGTACCATAAGTAGAAAAATGCACCTTTTAAGATCAAGTGACTTGATATCAGGCTTGATACAGCAGAGTAATAAGTGAGAATAAACTGAACATAAGTGAAAACATCCAAAAACATCCATTCAGTCACATAGTCACACACCTACAGACCATGGGGGGACCGGAGGACCTGCAGCAAACTCCTCAACATGAGGAGAACATGCAAGAACATGAATCTCCACACGTGGAACCCTGACCCTGAAACAGACTTGAACTCAGGTCCCAGAAGTGTGTGTATAAGTTGTACATTGATTGTTAATGTTTTTTATCATTAGTTAGGTAGGTAGATAAGTTTAAAAAGGCAGTCATCTGGAACGGATTCAATTCATTTACATTATTTCTTATGGGGAAATTCGACTTGGATTTCAACCAAATTGCAACTCGACCAGCCTTCTGGAATGAATTAAGTTTGTGTTCCAAGGTACTATTGTAATTTTAAAAACAAGAAAATGAATGTTATATTTCCAGATTTAAGATTTCAAATCTTGGCAAGGACAGATGATTTGCAGTGCACAAGTTTCATTTGGCAACTGAGCTGAATATTTTTGTAAATGGGTACCATTTGTGATTATTAAATGTTTAATTGTTTTGTCTCTTTGTACTGCTGCTTTTGAACAGATATAACTGTGCATTCATATTTTAACAGCTTCTGTTTGCACTGTGGGCCAATTTTGCTGAACAGGGACAATCTTTGTGAATGATGAAACCCAAGTAGATATTGCTTCTGTCCTGCACAGCTGGATGTTTTGGGTGTTTCAACTGAGAGACTAAAGCTCCAGGGATTTCCTCCTCCTCTAAGTGAAGCAATGTATTAGCTGGGCCTGTTAGTGAGACCGTAAGGCTGCTCCACTGGTCACCACACAGACCTCAGGCAGGGCCTGTTAGTGAGACCGTAAGGCTGCACCGCTGGTCACCACGCAGACCTCAGGCTGGGCCTGTTAGTGAGACCGTAAGGCTGCACCGCTACAGTTTTTCACACTTGTCACAGACAGCAGAGTGAGAGAAAAACCTGGCCAGATGCCCCATCATGTCAGTATTTCCCAGTTGACACTGAACTGTTCAGCTGCAAACAAAACAAGTCTGTCATCTGAGACCAGAGTGTGGGTTAAAGGTCGGGCATCTTTGAAAGGCATTAAGAATTCCACAGCTCCTAATGAAGTATGACTTACTGCAGCAGCAATGCAAGACTCTGCATCGATCTGAGCTTGACCAGATGACCCGTGTTTCCAGGGAAACCAGCTCTTTCCATGTCAACAAACATTTTTGAAGAGCAAGTTTCTGCTGGATGACCATGAGAGAATGCAAGGTCTTGTGAATCAGAGTGAGGGGGTTAGGCTTTAAAGCGCCATGTAAGGCGAGTTGAGAAGGGTCTCCTCAAACACAAGAGAAGCATGCTGGGTGATGACCCTCATGCTCTCCGTGTTCCAACACCACATTGGAGTCAGGCTGATGGCCTTCCTGGGAGCATTACAGCTGGTGCTGATGCTGTGATGGAGGGACTGGATGTGTGGATGGGGTGGGGGGCAGCTTAGGATGACGGCTCCTAGATACTTAGCAGGTGATTGACAAAAGGAACAGTCCAAACTCAAACTGGATCGCGTGGGGTTCCTCCACTAAATCACTTAGAGCTGGGAGCTAAATCAGGTCTGTGGGCACAAAGCACTGCCTCAGTGACCGGATAGTAAGGTGAGTAAAAGGTTTTACATCAGAACAGGAGCGCACCCAGAAGGAAGGTAAAGAAACAATTATTTAATGCTACAAAAGGGCACCCCCTGGAGGCTTGCACACTGCCTGACCAAACAGACGGAGCCAGGGAAGAAAAGGACCAGGAGGAAGAAGGAGGTGCACTGCACTTCAAACAGAGGGTCGGCAGGGAAGGAAAGGACCAGGAGGAAGAAGGAGGTGCACTGCACTTCAAACAGAGGGTCGGCAGGGAAGGAAAGGACCAGGAGGAAGAAGGAGGTGCACTGCACTGCAAAGAGAGGGCGTCAGGGAAGGAAAAGACCAAAAGGAAGAAGGAGGTGCACTGCACTCCAAACACAGGGAGGCAGGGAGGGAAAGGACCAGGAGGAAGAAGGAGGTTCACTGCACTTCAAACAGAGGGTGGCAGGGAGGAAAAGGACCAGGAGGAAGAAGGAGATGCACTGCACTTCAAACAGTGGGGGGCAGGGAAGGAAAGGACCCGGAGGAAGAAGGAGATGCACTGCACCCGTGTGACACAGCCGTGGCTAGACACCCACATGCAGGAGGTGTCATACGCTACTGAACATCCCACAGTGCTGCTGGTCCAAATCAGATAGCCATCTCACTCATATCAGGAGCAGTGGAGCGCACTTTCATGTAAATTACTGTGCTGGAGTCATCAAAGATGTGCAACACTTTGTCTATCACACACACACACACGCGCGCGCACACACACACACACACACACACACACTCAAGCACCACCTGCAGGAACAATCAAATAGGGCCAAAACTAATACCAGCAAACACATACATACAGCCAAGCAAACAAACACACACATGTGTAGACATACATACTGAAATACCACCTACAAGAACATGCAGTGTGACCCAAAACATCCACATACTGCACTCCAGCAAAGCCTTACCGTCAGCAGCTGGTTTTGCATATGTGTGAACTTGCTTGCAGTTGGTTCCCTTACTGGTTTGACTGGTCAGAGCCTAGTTCTCCCACTTGCTCTGCTTCTAACCCTTCCTACAGCCTGGTTCAGTGGCCCAGCCCTCTTCTCATCACAATCCACCACCAACGTTTCCACTACTCCCTCTCATACGCTTGCTTTCTCCTCCCCCCTCCCCCATTCCCCACATTAAGCCATCTCTTACTGCACCGGCAGCTCTCCGCTCCTTCACCACCCAGCCAATCAGAACATTGTTGTGTTGTGGGGGTGTGTCCCTTTGTCAGCACTGGGAGGGGCCAACATTTGCACTCTTAAGACTTCAGTGTGCAGCAGTCAGAGCTGAGCCCTCACTTTAGGTGTGCAGGCTTTGGTATCTGAGTAAGGAGACAGGGGTGCAGGCCCATACTCTCTTGTGTTTGATATCTACAATTCAGAAAACATCCTTATGCCAGTCTGTTCACCTTAGCCAGATGTTTTACCGGCCCAAACATCCTGACACCACAGAGATGCATTTTAGCCAAGCAATAGGCACACTGTCCAAAAAAACGCACACAACCACAGTCTCTCAGTACATACACACCTGCCGTCTCTCAGTACATACACACCTGCCGTCTCTCAGTACATA